CTGACCCTTTTGTAACCCTGTTATGTGGGTCTGGGGGATGCAAATCGGGTTCCTTCTCCGGGTCCACGGGGCCTGAGTCAAATGGATGGTCGCACGGAGGACCTGCTCCCCACTGTACGGTGGTGCTGACGGTGCTGCTGCATGTGGCTGGTTGCTTTTGTCCCCTCTGAAGATCCCAGGCCGTTTTTAAGGCGACCATGATCTGCCACAAGGTTGTCACATGTTTTAACGCAGCTGTATCACCATTCGGCACCTCCTCCTTAAGGTGCATTCCGAGTTCTTCCTACATCTCTCGCTGGGGTGTGCCTTCCTTCAGGAAAGGAGGTACCTTCTCCCAAATCTACTCTGGTAGAGTGACTAAATCCTTCCCGGAAACCTGCCGGTTCTGTTTGTGCAACATGCGCTGCAGCTCGTCCAGGCTGCGTTTCTGCTCTTAAGAGATTCCACCTCCCATGGTTCCCAAGCCGTTCACCTCTAATTAGGTGATGGGTGCACACCGGAGTTCTTCCTGCTCCGTTCCTGGTTCAGCTGGGCTGTGCTGCCAGGTGCCGCTTCGTGAGCTTCCTCTATGTTCTTGCCTCAATGTTGGGCGCCATTTGCAGCATCTGAAGCAATCATGGACTTCGGTGTTGTGAAACCAAAGACCTTTATTTAAGCACAACTTATAGAACTTCCAACCCCAGAGACAGCCCTGGCCCTGCCTGGCAGCATGCAAAGCTCCGCAACCCAACCAACCAGTCAACCAGATTATCTTGTGTTGATTATGCACGATCAAGAAGCTCAGTGAGCTTCTTGATCATGCGCTGGCCATGTTGTTGCAGCTCCCTGCCTCTCCTGCTCAGTCCCATATCTGCCAAGGGGACATTCTTTGCTACTGACCTTAGGCCTACCTCCACAGGTGGTGACGTGTGTCTAGGGCCTGAGCACCGCTTTTTCCTAGACCCTCTCCTGGGAAAGCACTGCAGGAGCAAGCAGACCCTGGAGAACATCCTTGCCCATGTTCCTGGCACCAATGACAAGGTCCCTTCTGTGTAAGAACGTGACATGTCAACAGCAGGGCCATGGCATGGCTGCCCTTCATACTCTGAAGTCATTTCTGCTTGAGGACCTGATAGTCCCACATTTTTGACTCTGAGGACACTTATTGCTCTGGATAGGTCAGAGGGGACTCTTAGCTCCAACAGGCTGTTGTGATGTCACCTCAGTGTGTGGTGGTGACAAGCAAGACAAGGCCTGTGGTTTGGATGTTGGTTGTGTTGGCGCTTGTGCCTCAGGACGTGGCAGGCCAGCAGCCGGCACATGGCCTGGATGTTGATAGTGAGGTCACTGCTGTGCCGGACCTTGATAGTCCAGCAGCAGGCACATGGCATGATGGTTGGTAGTGAGGTCACTGCTGTGCCTGTTCCTGATAGGCCAAAAGCAGGGATATGGCTCTGATGGTGACTGTGAGGTCACATCCTTCTCTGTAGACCTGAGGCCATCAGCAGGCTCTGGGTTGCTGAGGTTTCTTGTGACATCACCTCTCTCCCTGCTGCCAGAGACAGTTGACAGTTCCAGGGCACATTGTGAGGTCATTGCTGCTCCCATGTGGGATTGGCCAGCAGCAGGACCAGCACCAGCCAAGGGCCTGTGAGGTCCCCTCAGTGTGAGCAGCTGATCAGAGGACAGGGCTGTGACATAGACTCTGAGGCTGCGTCTGTCTGTGCAGAGGCCAGGCCAGAAACACGCTGGCCGTGCAGGACTGTCCCCAGAGCGAGTCCTGGAGATGGAGAAGGAGCAGCAGGTGAACGGCTGCTCCTCATTCGTGGACGGGATCCCTGGATCGCAGGAGTGCATGAGGAAGGTGAGGGGCTGGAGGGAGAGGGGGGCATCAAGGATGGGACCCGCACGGAGAGCACAAGGATGGTGGGGAAGGAGACCAGGGCCAAGATAGCCAGGCTGGAGCTTCTCCAGCGAGGGGACACGTATTCCTGGCCATGGGTATTTCCTCTCACACAAAGCAGACCAATGGACACTCTCTCCTGTACCTGGCACTGGTTCAGGAAGAACAAAGTGCCACTGAAGATGTCCATGGGCCTTGACAGCCTTTGATGTAGCCAGCCAGAGGTCCTCATTAGCCCATTGCCTGTTCATATAATGTGGTGGGATGAAGAGAAGTTCTGGGGAGGAGGCTTAGAAGGGTTTGCGAGTGCAGAGTCTGAAGCAAAGACATTGTGGGGCGGGGGTGCCTCCCATTTATGCAGCACACTGGATGTAGATGGGATGGGCTGCCTTTCCCTACAGCCAGTGCTGGAATGTCTTTGTTTGGGTACAGGACAGAAATGCAGGATGCCCTGGGGCATTTGCCCAGCAATCACTCCAAGGGTACATGGTTTTCCTGCAGGTCCCCTGCTGTATTTGCTAGACACCTGAGGTTGTGCTGGACACCCCAGGCATCTGACAAAGCCCTGCCAGCACTTTTCTACGCCATCAAATCCAGTATCTGCACTAAATTACCAGAGCTGCTGCTTAATGCTAGAATCTTTCTGTGCCTCATCTTCATATTTCCTGGGGCTCTCATTGTATTTGGTATCTGGGGTCATTTCAGACAGCCAAGGCAATTCCCCACCTGGACTCCAACTCATGCTCTAGGATGATGCACATCTCCCAGTAGCTCCATCAGAGCAAGCAGGCGCTGACACATGCCTCGCACGTCCTCAGTCTCTTCCAGTGTTTCTGTGGGAACAACTGACTCTCATCCTCAATCTCCAGTGAGTGTAGTAGAGCTTTGACAAGGAGCTTTTGTGCAGATCTCTGTGCTCTGCTCACTTCAGTTTAGCAAGGGGAATCACACCACTCATGTTTGTGGAGTTTACAGGAGGAATCTGAATATGACTTCAGACTCAGACCTAAGCAGGTACTGCTCAGATTGATATTTCTGAATCAACATCTGAACCCCGTGTCAATGAACTCCCCACTTGTCCACTCCTCTGTCTTCTGTCTAATTAAGGGATGTGAGATGACGCTTCCAGAGTGGGACATTTCCAACTTTCATAGATAGTCATCCTTTGATGCAATAAATTGCAATGTTGGTATCCATCTCTCCGCACTCACCAGCAGCTTACAACAGGTGATTATTTCAGTTTATTGGAGTGAACTGTTCCCAGGAGGAGGGAGCATAAGGGACAGAGAAATTGATGAGTTCAGATGGGCCTCCGCTCCTGAGCGGGGCCAGGCTCCTGGGACAGAGGTAGCTTGTGGCAGCCTGGCAGCACTGCCCAGAGACAGCGATGTGCAGGAGCAGCTCCTGTACCAAGAGCAGCAGGGCTGTGGGCACTGCCTGCTGCTCTGGACAGGAGGGGAGAGAAGGCAGCGAGAGGGGAATGACAGTGTGGAGTGGGAGCACAGGGGAGAGCTTGTCATAGTGAGTTTCTGGCCACAGGGCAGTGGTTCCTGGAGGGGTCTTCTGAACTCAATCCGTGCTATTATGGATTGGATTTTTAATGATCTCTCTCCTGGAGTATCCAGGGCATAACACGTGAAGGACATGCTCCAGAGCAGGGATTCCCTGCCATACTGTGACAGGAACAGAGAGAGAATCCTGTTGCATTCTTCCTGCTCCCTTCTCCCAGGATGGGAAGGCAAGGAGCACACCCAGATCTGTGCAGGAATGTATTTTGGGGCAGTCTCCCTATAACTGCTCTGTGCCTGGGGCAGTGCCTCTGCTGCCTGTGAGGGTTCGCGCTCAGCCTATGCAGTGAGCCCACCTCACATCTCCATTGAGAAGTTCTGAGCGGCAGAAGCAATAGCCAGCAGGGCATCTCCTTTCTTCTATGAAGAAGTGCTGCATGTGCCAAGGGTGGTCACAGCTACAGCTCATGCACAAGGCATGTCTGAGGGGACCTTTCAAGAGGAAGATCACTAGAAGGACTGATTGAAAGGGATAGGAGCTTTCTTTTGGGTCTGTGAACTTTCAGTTTCCTACTTTTTGCAGGAAGAATGAAGGAACAACTCTTTTGTTTTGGCAAGGAGCTGGGAGATTAATGGATCTGTGAGAAACCTCAGCAAGCTGCTTCATCCCCACATTAACCTACAGGCAGCACTAACATCACCTCATGAAATTTGTGACCTGCTCATTCTGACCTGAAACAAAGCTGCCTGTGGACAGTGGTCAGGCCTGCGAGATTTTTGTAGGGCAGAGCTGAGCAGAGAGGGAGATGTTGGATCTGTGAGCAATGGCAGAGACAAGACACAGGGACATAGGAAGAGCTGGCGGCAGGGACAGCTGTGGGCATCAGATATGGGCAGGGAAGGGGAAGAAACTGCAGAACAGCAACCACCTCCTCTGCAGCCAGACCTACAGCAGAGGAGAGGGGCTCACGGACTCATTTCCTGCCTCTCCAGGGACTGAGAGCAACTGTCCTGTTATGACACCCTCTGCGAGGTGTCATGCTCAGCTGGTAGGATGAAGGCTTTCCAGAATGCCTTTCTGTCCCTCTCCTTGCCTCCATTGGCAAACCCTCCGGTTCATCCTGCTCTTGTTCTTGCTCTCTACTTTCTGGGCTTCGGAGTATTCAGCTGCAATTCAGATACTGATGCTACAAGTAGTGTAACAGAGGGATTACCAAAGCAGTGAGGTTGCCCCAGCCCCCTTCTTTCCTGGAGTAGTTCATGAAATGCAGTACAGGGAAATAAGCTGATTCTCTCTTAAGGCCATCCTAAGTCCTCACAGACCTCTGGCAGTTGTCCCGTGGTGTCCTGCCAGGCTGCCACCTGCCTTCCAGAAAGGCTCTGCTGTCTCATGGCATGTCTGTGGTCCCTGAGCAATCCGTGAGGAAGCTGTAGAGATGCTGAAGGTATGGAAGTGGTGGTGATAGACTGTAAATGAACATCAGAAAAGAGCCCGATAGGCTATACTCTTTTTGGATAACATCATCCTCCAGCTAAAAGACTAACTTGTGTCTCCTAACTTGTCTCTGTCTTTTCCTCTTTGGTCAGCTAACCATGTCCGTGGGGAGCAAATGTCGAACAGCAGCTCTGTCAATGAGTTCCTCCTTCTGGCTTTTGCAGAAAGGCGGGAGCTGCAGCTCTTGCACTTCTCACTCTTCCTGACCATCTACCTGGTTGCCCTGCTGGCCAACGACCTCATCATCACAGCCGTAGCCTGTGACCATCATCTCCACAACCCCATGTATTTCTTCCTCCTCAACCTCTCCCTCCTCGACCTTGGATCCACTGTCCTCACATCCATGGCCAATTCCCTGTGGAACAACAGGACCATTTCTTACTCGGGATGTGCTGCACAGATATTTTTTTCTATCCATTTTCATTTTGGCTGAGTATTCTCTTCTCACAGTCATGTCCTATGTCCCTGTGTCAGTACTGGCTTCACTCAAATAAAAGCGGATTTCCTCAGGGCAGTATTTGAAGGTTGGCCTCTCCTTCCAAAGCTGGAGTCCATAATGTGCTCAAGGACTTTAACCCTCGCAGAGTCTGTTGCTCTTTTGGGGTTCGCCAGGGCCTCCAGGCAATGGTCTCATAGATGATGTGTTAAGGAATGAGGGTTGGATTCAGTTCTCACATGTGGGTGCTCAGAGCTCCTGTGGGGGGTGAATGGTCAGGCCATATCTCCCATATGACAGGGCTGGAGATGGATATGGAGCCTCCAGGAGAGCACAGGGCATCTCCAAGGGCATCATGTTCCTAGGAGTGAATGGAGCTTCAGTAACTCAAGGGGAGCCACCCAAATGGAAAGGGCAAAAGCAATGAATGTGCAGGCTAGTGAGAGCTATGCAGTCCCACAAAAGGCAGTGGGGACCCAGGAGGCCCGGGGAAGGGAGCCTGGAGAGTCACTGAGGTCGCCTTCAGTGTCAGTGTTTGGCTGCCTTGGCAGCTCCTTCCTGCTGGCCTCCGTGCCTGTAGCCAGAGGACCAGCCAGCCCTGTAGCCCTCTCTCCCAGCTCAGACACCACAGACGACTCTGCATCAACCCCAACGTGGTACAAGGTTGGGGCCAGCAGGGTTTGTGGGAGGACAGGGCAGTGCGGGCTGTCATGGGGGACCATGGCAGAGGGATGTTTCCCCACTGCTTACCACCCTGCCCTGGGTGCTGTCTCCACAGTGGAGCTGCGGAGCCATGTGTGGGTGCAGGGATGGGGACAGCTGGAAGCCTCCATGTTCCGCTTGGGAGAAGGGAAATTGCCAAGAGCTCTCCCAGCCCAGACCCACCAGTGTCAGTGACGGCCCTGCTACTGCAGCCACAGTTTCTCCATGCTCAACTCAACCGCATCCCCAAGCCGCTACCT